AGCGCTACGCTGGAGCCCGGGAGGAGAGGCCGGACGCAGGTTCTCGGCCGCCCCTCGAAGCTCTCGCGACGCCAGCCTCGGTGCCCGAATGGCTCGGGGCGAGCGGCGGCGCCGCGGCGGCGCGCCCGTGGATGGAGCGCGGGCGGCCGAGGGGGCGGCCCGGGGCGGCCCCGCGCGGCGGGAAAGCCGGGGCGGCGTGGCCCGCGGCACGGTCGCGGCGGCAGTCTTGGTCATCGTGGTCCTGCCGCTGGCCCTGACCCTGTCGGGGAGCTGGCTGCTGGCCTGGCACCGCGCGCGGCGGGCGGTCACGCTGCACTCCGCGCCCCCGGCGCTGCCTCCCGAGTCTTCCAGCCCCGCCGTGGCCCCCGACCTCTTCTGGGGCACCTACCGCCCCCACGTCTACTTCGGCATGAAGACCCGCAGCGCGCAGCCCCTCCTCACCGGTAACCGGGCCCCGGCGGGCAGGCAAGCCAGGTCTTCCTCCGGGCGCCCCAGCTTTCCTCTGGAGCGAGGGCGGGGAGGAGCGGGTCAGGAGAGTTAGGAGGAGGGATGGCCCTGAGCTTCTCGCAGACACAGAGGGGCAGGGTTGCTGCTCTCTGACTTACGTGGCCGTTCTACCCCCAGGACTGATGTGGGCACAGCATGGCACCGCCCCTAAGCTCAGGCACACGTGTGAGCAGGGGGACGGCGTGGGCCCCTATGGCTGGGAGTTCCACGACGGCCTCTCCTTCGGGCGGCAGCACATCCAGGATGGGGCTTTAAGGCTCACCACTGAATTCGTCAAGAGACCCGGGGGTCAGCACGGAGGGGACTGGAGCTGGAGAGTGACTGTAGAGTCTCAGGTCAGGGCCTCAGGACACCCCTCCCCTAGCCCAGACTCCCTCCGTTCTTCCTTTGCTGCCAGCAAGTGCAGTGGGAAGTGGGGGTAACAGCTGGAGCTGCGAGTCTGGCCATCTGGTTTGAATCTGGTTGCCTGCCTGAAAACACTTGCCTATAAGACCACCTGTATTTACAATTCCTACGTGTTGGTTTCCTTTCTGTAAAGTGGGGATGAAAATAGCACCTAACACAGGATTGTAAGAATTAAAGCAAATAATATGTAGAGTTCTTAGAATACACAGCACAGAAATACTCATTATTTCCCAGAGAACTCTGCAGGGATCTTTAACTCATCCCACTGGGTGTTTACCCACAGTGACCCTCAACACAGCCAGATAACTCAAACCTCATTTCTCCAAACTTCCATCTGGAACAATTCGGTTCTCAACCAGTTTGTTCACAGAAAAAAAAATGTCTTGGTTGTCAATGTCTTTGGTTTTGGACCTGACAACCCTTTCATGCTGATACCTGAGCCTGACAAAAAGCGTCTCTCAGGCAACAGAGAGAATGCTTTTGTTGTTGGCGAAATTCATGATTAGCACAATTTTAAAACATAGAGACCATGCCGAGACCGGTTTGGCTCAGTGGTAGATCGTCGGTCTGCGGACTGAAGGGTCGCGGGTTCGATTCCGGTGAGGGGCATGTACGTTGGTTGCGGGCACATCCCCAGTAGGGGATGTGCAAGAGGCGGCTGGTCGATGTTTCTCTCATCGACGTTTCTAGCTCTCTATCTCTCTAACCTTCCTCTCTGTAAAAATCAATAAAATATGTATTTTTTTTTAATTAAAAAAAAAACCAACAACATAGAGACCATCAAGAGTGCTAATGTTGCTAAGGGTGTGAAAGAAACAATGATTATAGGTGGTTGAAGAGATAGAAAAACTGCTGATTTGGATAAAGGAAAAGCAGTTAGCCAGTGACAGCCATTTGCGGAGATGGTGATGTATGAAGGTGCTGCATGCTGATCTGAAAGACATCCCTGGACCGAATGCTAAAAGTGATTCATTTAAAGCTGGTAGGGGTAAAATTAAGAAAAGAAGTGTTTGTTTATATATTAAACAGTACATTAGACATGTACTATATATATAAAAGGAAGGTTAAAACGGGATCATTTGGGAGTCTAGAATGGATTAATTCAATTTACATGACTTCTAGTGGGTAAAATGATTTGGTTTTCCAAATCGCTCTTCGAACAGCCTTCCAGAACGAATTAAGTTCGAGAACCAACGTTCCACTGTATTTGTTGTTTCATTTTGCTCTGTCCTGGTGCCCCTTTCCCTGACTAAGTGTGATTCTCAAGAGTGAATGTAGATCTAATGCATTGTTTTTTCTGTCCTTGTTCATCCAGGCCTCGGGTACCTCTGCCCTCCCTTTGGTGTCCCTGTTCTTCTACGTGGTGACAGATGGCAAGGAAGTCCTAGTGCCAGAGGGTGGGGCTAAGGGGCAGTTGAAGTTCATCAGTGGTCACTCCAGTGAACTTGGTGACTTCCGTATTACACTTCTGGCACCAACCAGTCCAGGGGATACTACTCCCAAGTATGGCAGGTAACTGGGGTGGGGGAGCGTGTGGGGTGGTGGTAGGGGTGGTACGGATGCTGACTTAGCTTGGTTCCCATCTCCTCTGCTCTACCCTCTTTCCACCAGTTATTTCTCTTCGTACCAGCCTCCATGCCCTCTACATTGTCAAGATCTTTCCATCCTAACTCTTTATAATAACTCTTTATTTCTCTTTATAATCCCTTCTACTTCCTCCCCTCCTGAATAATATTTCCTATTTGTCTTCTTCCCTTCAAGCTACAATGTCTTCTGGTCCTCCAACCCAGGACTTCCCTTGCTGACAGACATGGTGAAGAGTCGCCTAAATAGCTGGTTTCAGCATCGGCCCCCAGGGGCTTCACCTGAACGCTACCTTGGCTTGCCAAGATCTCTGAAGTGGGAGGACAGAGACCCAAGTGGGCAAGGAGAGGCCCAAGGGCAGTTCTTGATACAACAGGTGACAGTGAAAGCCCCCTTTTCTGTGGAGTTCGTGTTTGAATCTGGCAGTGCCCAGGCGGGAGGAGACCAAGCCCGGGGGCAGCTGGCAGGCAGCCTGCTGACGCAGGCCCTGGAGAGCCACGCGGAAGCCTTCAGAGAGCGCTTTGAGAAGATCTTCCAGCTGCAGAAGAAGGGCCTGAGCCCGCAGGAGCAAGCTCTGGGTCAGGCTGCCCTCAGCGGTCTCCTCGGTGGGATTGGCTACTTCTATGGACAGGGGCTTGTGCTGCCAGACATGAAGGCGGAGGAGTCTGAGCAGAAGGTGGCCCCGGCCCTCTTCCCACCGGTCCCTCTCTTCACAGCAGTGCCCTCCCGGTCGTTCTTCCCACGGGGCTTTCTTTGGGATGAGGGCTTTCACCAGCTACTGGTCCAGCGGTGGGATCCCCGCCTCAGCCGGGAGGCCCTAGGCCACTGGCTGGGGCTACTCAATGCCGATGGCTGGATTGGGCGGGAGCAGGTACTGGGGGATGAGGCCCGAGTCCGAGTACCCCCAGAATTTCTGGTGCAACGGGCAGCCCATGCCAACCCCCCAACCCTGCTTTTGCCGGTAGCCCACATGCTGGAGGGTCGCGACCCTGCCGACTTAGCCTTCCTCCGCAGGGCCTTCCCCCGCCTGCGTGCCTGGTTCTCCTGGCTTCATCAGAGCCAGGCGGGGCCAGTGCCCCTGTCTTACCGCTGGCGGGGTCGGGACTCGGCCTTGCCAACCCTGCTGAATCCCAAGACCCTGCCTTCAGGGCTGGATGATTACCCCCGTGCTTCACATCCTTCAGCCACTGAACGCCACCTGGATCTGCGGTGCTGGGTGGCACTGGGTGCCCGTGTGCTGGTGCAGCTAGCAGAGCAGCTGGGCGAGGCTGAGGCGGTTGCAGAGCTGGGCCCGCTGGCTGCCTCGCTGGGAGCAGAGAAGAGCCTGGATGAGCTACACTGGGCCCCAGAGCTAGGAGTCTTTGCAGACTTTGGGAACCACACAAAAGCAGTGCAGCTGAAGCCTCGTCCCCCTCACGGGCTGGTTCGGGTGGTGGGCCGGCCCCACCCTCGCTTGCAGTATGTGGATGCCTTGGGCTATGTCAGTCTCTTCCCCTTGTTGCTGCGGCTGCTGGACCCCCACTCGCCCCGCCTTGGGCCACTGCTGGATGTTCTAGCCGACCGTCGCCATCTCTGGAGCCCCTTCGGGTTACGCTCCCTTGCAGCCTCCAGCCCCTTTTACGGCCAGCGCAATTCAGAGCATGATCCTCCCTACTGGCGGGGAGCTGTGTGGCTCAATGTCAACTACCTGGCCTTAGGGGCACTCCACCACTACGGGCACCTCAAGGGTCCTCACCAAGCCCGTGCTGCCAAGCTCCACAGTGAGCTCCGTGCCAATGTGGTGGGCAATGTGCTGAGGCAGTACCAGGCCACAGGCTTCCTGTGGGAGCAGTACAGCGACCGGGACGGACGGGGCATGGGCTGCCGCCCCTTCCAGGGTTGGACCAGCCTTGTCCTACTGGCCATGGCTGAAGACTACTGAAGGGAGAGTGTGGGAGGCGAGTGAGGTCCCTGTAACACTCCGGACAACCGGGACCAGGTCTCCAAATTCTGCCCCAACCCTCAGATACCAGTGCTTTGAATCCTCATGTCAGGTGTCTCATTATCATCCCACACAACCCTGGGGTGAATGTGAATTCAGAGTCTTATTTTTCTAAATAAACTGGAAAACCATGCCAAATTACCGTTTTTGCCAGCTTTGCCTCACCAAGAGGTCTTGGCTCAGTCCATGGCCTGCGGGCTGCCTCCTATCCTCCAGAGAAGCTGGGGAAGGTGGCCATTGCCTGTCCCCTCCAAGTCCATCCAGGTACAGTGAAGTGAGTTGAGCACTAGACCACCCAAGTCCACAAGCAGCTGGTTCACATCTCTTTAATGAGATCAAAGGCTCCTGTGTATGTCACTGGGGGTAGAGCTAGCACAGTCCCCCAAACATGGCCCCTGTCCTCGGGACTCCAGCCCTTTCAGGCAGATTCTAGGAAGGCAGGGAGAGGCCGAGGAGAACTCAAGAAGCTGGAACCAGGGCTGTTTCTAGTGGGCAAGCAACCCACCCACCCTCCTAAGACTGCTCATGGGGTGCCCCCTTCACTGGTAGCCAGCCCCATGGAAGGAACTTGGGGTATGGGGTCTAGGGACAGTGTACAGGGGGAGCAGTCCCCCAGGTCTGGCTGAATAGCACTAGCCTTAGCCTCCTTAACTGGCTCACGCTCGCTGGAGTCAGGGCAAGGGCAGAGCTCGATGCCCGAGTCACCAGTCAGGCGGCGATAGCGGCAGGAGGGGGGTGTGGGGGCAGGGCTCAACCCTGCCCCAGGCTCACCCGCCTGGCGAGGGGGGGCACTCTGGTGGGAGGAAACACCTTCCACATTTGTTCCCTCGGAGTGGGCAGGGCAGCTAGAAGTGGAGGAGCAGCAGGTACATTCCCTGGAAGCAGTCAAGGGGCAGCCTGGGACCGCAGTGTAAGGAGGTGGTGGCGTGCCCGGGCGGTGAACCACATCCTCATAGGCGGGGGGTTTGAAGGCGCTGAGGAGGCCTGCAGGAGAGAATGGCATGGTTGGTTGGAGGCAACCAGGGGTGAGGTGGTGGTCTCTTTACTGTTGGGGAAAAGTGTGCTTTGGAATGTCTGAAAACAAAATGTGGGGAGGAGCCACCGGTAGTGAGCCCAGAGCCTCGAGTCACTCACGAAGGTCAAGCAGTGAACTGGCAGGAACAGGGCCAGCCCCATGGCATGCCCCGTGGTAGGCCAACAAGTTGATCTCACGCTGCCGCTGCTGTTGCTGCAGCCGGAGTTTAGCTCGTCGGTGACGGAAGGCGCAACAGCAGCTAAAGAGGATGAGGACGGTCCAGAGCAGCCAGAACCCTGCAGGGGGGTGGAGAGGAAGAGTCTCAGATACCTCCCGTGCAAAGAAGGGTCCCTGAAGGCTAGAATTCCGAGGTCCAAGGGAGGGTGGGCAGAAGGACCCGAGAATGGCCCCCACAGAGACTCACACCAGAGCTCATAGTAGTAGGTGCAGCAGCCAGTCTCCCCGCAGCAGTGACCACTCTCACAGAGGTAGGGCTGGTTGTTCACTCCTGGGCAAACCTCTCGAAGCTGGGAGCAAGGAGGCACTTAGCACCAAGGGAGATTCCAGCCCAAGGCACTGTTCAGCCCCACACCCAGCCCCTGCATGCACACCACACGCCCACCCTGTGAATCAGTGTAGCTCAGGTCTATGAGGAGGCAAAGGAGTGATGCTGAAAGGAGTGTTCAAATGTCTGAAGGGCTGTCAGCATGGAAGAGGATTTGGAATAGCAAAAATCAGCCTGGAGAACAGGACGAAGATGTGAACAGAGGCAGATTTCAGCTCTGCATATTGACTGGCCCCAAGGCATTTTCTGTTAACGGGGTGTTTTGGCAGAAGCCAGAAGATAGAGCAATCTCAAAATCTCAGACAATGGGTAATGGGTGTAATTTCCAAAGCTAAAATGCTTTCATTGTCCCTCATGGCCTGCCATTCCCCATCCCCAAGGTGGACCTTTCCACCCCTGAGTCTCAGACTTCCTAGGATAAAGGAGGGGCAGTGTGAGACCCAGAACAGTGCTCCCAACCAGATGGGATTGCTGTGGATGATAAAGGATGGCAGGGCGCGCAAGTCTGGGTTCCAGCTCTTCTCCAAATTGCTCCCTCAAGAGAAGACGCTATTGGCCTCTGTTGTGACAATAGGCACACAGAAACGCATCACAAATAACTGTTGCAAGACAGGAAGCCTCCCCGGGGCCTCACTATGCCTCTGGTCCCTGGAGAGTCACTGCAAGCTCCCACTGCATCCATGGGATGGTGTATAAGACCGCAGGCAAAGTCAACTGCATCTACGTTACAAAGTTTAAACAAAGAATGCAAGGGACATTTAGGAACTTCACAATACCTTTGGCTCCGTGAGTCCCTACCCAACCCCCAAAAAGACAGGGACAGAAAAGGGGAAAGGGAAGTAGATGGCTATAGGGATATGCTTTTGGAGCAGATGGGATACCTGCTGTTGCGGCACTCGAAGTGCCCCCCAGGCCTCCTCGCTGCCGTTCCCGCTGCTGGCCCGAGCCATGCCTCCACCTACAGCCCCCTGGAGACCACAGCCTCCTCTACTGCCAGCCACCCCGCCCCTGCCGCCTCTGCCGCCACCGCCATGGTCCCTGCCCGGCCCATCTCCGCTGCCGCCACCATCACTCCGCGGCCGGCCGGAGCTCCCATCCGGGGAGAGCTCTGCCAACTAGGAGCCAGGTTGCTCCGTCCCGCCAATCAGCATCGCCCTCCGGCGAACGGGCCAATAGGACGGGATCGGAGGCTTTTGCTGGGGACCAATCCGCAGCGGCGCCCCGGCCGCGCTCCCAGACAACAAGCGCTCTCCCAGACAAAGAGTGCAGTGAGGCTCCGCCCACCGCCCTGACTGACAGCGACAGTAGCCAACGTGGACACCACCACGGGCTTCGAGCTGTCAACCAATGAGCGGCCGCCCAGAAGAGCAAACTCCCCTCTGATTGGCTGGAATCCCGTCCCCTGGAAGGACGCCAAAGGCCCGATCACGCCAGGTGATCCCGCCAGAAGAGGTGGGAGTCCCCCAAGTCGGCCGGAGCCCAGCGCGCCAGCCCGGGCTCGGTGGACGTTTCCGAGGCGTCAGCGCAAGCTCCGATGGGGGCAACATGTGTGGACAGGGAATCGGCTTCCCATGCCCCATACACTCAATTCTGTAAATTTGGTACCAGTCGAGGCACGGGATACAATTTAATAAGGAAGACACTGGATCCGGGCAGGGGAGAGGGTTCAGAGTCCTGGGAAAGGGCCTTACGTAGCCAGAAGGGGGGACCCGGGCCCTTCGGGTCTCCCCAGCCTCAGCTGCAGGTTGATGCGGTAGCACTGGAGGCTGCAGAGGGCCTGGCCTGTGCGGGAGCAGGCGTAGCGGCGCGGGTGCGGACAGCCAGGGACCGAGCACCGCGGAGGAGGGCCGGGCGGGGGCGGCCGCTGAGACACCGGTGCGGGTGTGGGGACGCCGGGCGGGAAGGAAAGGGTGGAACCCTGGGCCCCGCTGCTGTAGCGCACCATGGGGGCCGGGGCCGCGGCCCGCCCTCCCCGCCGCTCTCCCCTCGCGGCCCCGCGGCCCCCGCGCCCGCTGGGCGCTGCGGTCTTCGTGAGGCGCTCGATGGTCTGGTTCTTGTGCTCCTCCGCCCGCCGCGCCGCCTGCAGCCGCCTCTTACGAGCCCGTTCCTCGCGCTTCAGCAGCATCTCCTCGGTGAGGGCGGGGGCCGGGCAGCCCGCAGCCACAGGCAGCGGCAGCATCGGGGAAGGCTGGCTCTGCGCCTTCTGGAGCAGAGCTCGCTGGGGAGAGACAGAGGTGATGTCAGAGAATGGAGAAGCGAGGTCTGCAGGAAGGGTCCAGGTCTGCACCCTGGTCTCCAGACTTTCAGCTTTAGATCCTGACTCTCAAGAGGAAAAGTGTTAGAAATATTACCTGCCTGCCCTGTGTACCAAATTCTCTGCATCATATTTCTGAGGATTTTTTAAAAAATTGATTTTCCACAGAGAGGAAGGGAGAGGGATAGAGAGCTAGAAATGTCGGTGAGAGAGAAACATCAACCAGCTGCCTCCAGCATCCCCCCAACCGGGGGGATGTGCCTGCAACCAATGTACATGCCCTTGGCCGGAATCGAACCTGGGACCTTGGCCCACGCTCTATCCACTAAGCCAAACCGGTTTCGGCTCTGAGGATTTTTTATTTATTATTTTAAATCTTTATCTCATTGAAGCATTAATTAGATAAGTGCTCAATGCCTGAAAAGCTCCTCTGGTACTGGAAATGTTAGCTCTTCAAAGAGGTCTTCCCTCCCTATCTAGTGTCTCCTTCCGCTTTCTGTTTCATCACTATACATATATATATAAACTTAACTGCTTTTCAAAATTATTTCCTTCTTTACCTACCCACCCCAACACACACATGAATACCAGCTCCTTGAGAAAAGTATCTGTTCACTAATGCCCAATGCCTAGCAAAGTTCTTAGGACATGGAAGGTTCTCTCTAAATATCTGGTAACTGAATAAAGAATGTACCAATTTACCTGTCGAGCAGTGAGCAGCCGTTCGTTGATCTCCTTCTTGAGATCTCCATTGTCATCTAGCTCCCCCTTCTCCAGGGCATCCAGCCACCTCTGTTCCTCCTCTTCCTCCTGACCCCCTAAGTCCCCCGACAGATCTCGAAGTGGGGAGGGGGACAAATTACTATCTTCATCTGGAGAGAGAAAAGTAGAATTGTTCAGGTGGGGCACCCAAATTTGGCCAAGTTAATACTGGCACACTCAAAATTCTCTCCCTCCTCAGAAGTAACCTTCTCCCTTTAATCAGGAATCATGAGAAACCCTGTTTCCCCACCTCCAGATCCTTCTCACCCAGCCAGGCACGGTACTGCTCAAGGGGGACGCCTTCCATTGGTTCCTCTTCATTGTCCACGACCATAAGGGGAGAGGGGGACCGAGGGCCCTCGGGGATCACAGTGAAGGTAGGAACACTGCAGAGAAGCAACACCACTCTAAGCCGAGCAAGTATCTTCTTTCTGCTCAGTAGCTATCTCCAGCTTCCCCCACACCCTCTAGATCCTTCCTGGGCCCTGAAGTCACCGTATCCATTCTATCTTCTGGCAAGCCCAGCCAGCGTCTCTTTCCTTTGCCTCCTCCTGAAGTTCCCCAAGTAAAACCTTGGTTCTCTTGGCCTCACCTCTTGGTGCCCAGGACCTGCCCACCCAGCTTGATCTTGAGTTTGAGCTGGGGCTTGGCAGGAGACGGCTGCGTGGGTCCAGCTTCCTCTTCCTGATGGTGTTTCTTCTTGTGTTTCTTTTTGTGCTTCTTGTGCTTCTTCTTGTGCACTCCGTGGCCGTGGGCACCCGCCAGGCTCAACTCCAGCGCTTCCCCTGCAGGAGGAGAGCCTGTCAGCGGTGTGAGGCGGGAGTGGGGCAGCGAGAGCCCCGAAGAAGCACCCAATTTCCCTAGGGGCTCCCACTCTTCCCGCGGTACCCGCCGTTACCATAGCAATAGCCCCGCCTTTCTCCTCCCACCTGTGGCGAGGTACCTTGAAGGCCCCGAGAAGCGAGAAAGGAACTCCTTTCCTGCAAAGGCCTAAGTGGCTTTATGGACCCGCGCTTACCTGGCTCAGGGGCCTCCATAGCCCCGGAGGTGCTCCCGCGCCGCCACAGCTTACTCATGGGTTCCTGCTAGGAAAGGGGGCTGCAAATGATCAGGGAATGGGCTGACATGCCACTTCCGCCCCGCGGAAGAACTCATTCCAGCAAAACAACAGGAACTTCCGGCGCGTAGCAATCACGTTTGTGCGGGGCATATACTTACGCTAAAAGCGTCCCTGGGAAACAACGATTCTCCCCAACCAAAGTTCCGGGCCCTCCGTCTGGGACAATTCAAAAGGCGCGGCTTTCCTTCCATCTGTCTCTCCATCAAATCCGGAGCGGGCGATTTGATCATTTCATTCCGGCGTCGTGAGCGTACACTCCCGGCCACATTCGGGGCTGAGCAGTGAGGACACTGGGATGAATGCGAACCCTCTCCTCTGGCTTCGAGGAGCGAGGGGCGGGGTACACAAGCCAGATTGCCGGCAAGACGGCCGAAGTGCTTAACAGCACAAGTGTCCTACGAGCAGGGCGAATAGCGTTTAAGCCTAAATTCTCATCAGTAGAGAAATGGATAAATGAATTATGGTGCATCTGTGCAATGTGGAGCTACCGTGTTGCTAAAAAAAAAAAAATTAAGAGTGATAAGTAATTGATAAGACTGACATGGAATGCAGATTCTAGTAGGTAATAGCATTAGGAACAATCTAAATGTTCTCCAATGAAACACCAAAATGAGTTGGTATACGGGTTTAGAGCATCCATACAATGGGAGGCTATGTTACTATTAAAAGAAATGAGGCCCCAGAAGGCTACCCAAGAAACGGATGGGTGGCTGAAGGGAAGCTTGGTTTTTTTGTTTTGTTTGTTTGTTTTCATAAAATACCCTTTTGTGCCTATTGAATTGTGTGTAAAAATGTGTGTGTTTAAACTAATTTTAAAAACACACAGTAGCTCTGTGTGTGTTGATATAGGAAATAAGCAAGTTTCAAGATGATGTGATTCCATTTAAAAGACATTATAACTCTGGCTGGTGTGGTTTAGTTGGTTGGGACTCATCCGGTGTAATAGAAGGTGGTGGGTAGTTTTCTGATCAGATCCCGAGATCAGGAAGCAGCCAATTCACATCAATGTGTTCCTCTCTCTCTCTCTCTCTCTCTCTCTCTCTCTCTCTTTCTCTCTCTCTCTCTCTCCTCCCATTCCCCTCCCCCCACCTCTCTCTCGTCCTCTCTAAAAATCAATTAAAATTTTTTTTTAGCCCTGGCTGCTTTGGCTCGGTGGATAGAGCATTAGCCTTTGGACTGAAGGGTCCCAGGTTCGATTCCAGTCAAGGGCACATGCCCAGGTCTTGGGCCTGGTCCTTGGTAGGGGGCATGCAGGAGGCAGCCAATTGATGATTCTCATCATTGATGTTTCTTTCTCTTCTTCTCCTTCCTCTCTGAAAAAATAAAAAGAAGACATAATATGCTAATATATACATAGAAAAAAAATCAAGGAGTGTATGCTATACAGTTAATGGTGCTTATCTTTAGAAGTGGGATTAAAGAACTTTCACTACCCAGATCTGTAATGAATTTTCTTACAGCCAGTGTATATCACAATTAAATTAGAAAAAATTACCACCTATATACATATATTTAAATATATCTGAGATGTGTATCTTAACAAGGTAGCAGCAGTGAACAAAGAAAGAACTGATTCAAGAGATATTTCCTTGATGAAAATGAAGAGGAATCAATGAGCAATTATATATGGGGATTCAGTCAGGAAGAAGTTAATGTGATAGAGTGATTGATTTTTAAAAAATATATATTTTATTGATTTTTCACAGAGAGGAAGAGAGAGGGATAGAGAGTTAGAAACGTCGATGAGAGGGAATCATTGACCAGCTGCCTCCTGCACACCCCCTACTGGGGATGTGCCCGCAACCAAGGTACAT